TACACCGCTGCCATCTTAAAAAAAAAAATTTTACATAGTCGCGATTGTATCAAAGACCATATGCTAGCTTTGCGGTATTTGATACTATATGAAGACTTTTACGATATGCATGATTACGACCCACCGCGTGTCATCCCGCAACCTCACCAGCCGTCACTGAGATACGGTAAAAATGCGGTATTTTATATTCACGCGCCATTATCTCACAGAAAGTTATTTTATGCTGTGTGATCCTGCTTTCTTGGCAGTACACGTGGCTGAATTTAGGAAATGCGAGGTTTTTCCTGGTACCAACTAATATAAACATAAACAATTAGTTTCACAGAGAACGTATTTGAGGCGAAAGTTCATAAACAAGCTGTTATTTACTTTATTTATTTAATGACGGTATATTATTAAAAATGACAACGTGAGCTTGCAAGCTCCTTACCGTTAGTGCAATGAGAAAGTGCTAATACTGTTTACTATTAGGACAAGAAGAAAGCATTTCATGTGCTTTGCATATCCGTTTGAACACGACAGTGACTGTGCCGTCGGTATTACGTGATATACGTGAAGATTGCGTATCTTACTTATGTACGTAACCTTCGGCACCGCGTTTCTAAATTGTAATTCGAGTGTGGTGTACACGGCAGGCAAATCGAAGGAAGAACGAAGAAACCGTCGGTGTCCTTACAATCTTTTTGAACAATAAAAAAATGATAGATATCATGATTGCTGTTGCTCTTTCCACGGTTATTGCTGCATATGATTACAGAATACTTCGGACTGGCGTTTTTCTTAGTAGACACTTTGGGAATCATTGTATGTTAGCAATGCCGACGGCCATTCACAGCTTACGGTGCGTCACCAGTCGTTGGTCGATGCTAGTATTGCGTTTGACCCAACATTTTGGTCAAGTATCCCGTATTATTGTATATCTTCTTTGATATTACTACTCATATAGGCTGTAGAGTGTAATAAATCTAGGTGAACTTGTCATTTCTCTAAAGACACCTAATAAGTTCATGACCGTCAGATATGTATCGTACGCACGCACGCTTACGCATGTAGGCAAGCACGTACGCACGTATACGCGTACACACTTTTGCATGTACATCATTGTCATCAACACATACGACAAGTCACATATGATGAAAAGTGCATAAAGTATCAAATGTTACATCATCGAATTGATTTGCTGATATCCCGAATCACAATCAATGATGACGAGCGTAAAAACCATCTTGGGTTTGCCAGGCAACACCCGCACCGCGGACGCTACGAGCACGGGCACTTGGAGCGTTTCAATAAAATATAATGCTAAATAAATATGAAATCTATTTACTACCAAAGTCTTAATGCTTCTCGACTTTCTTTCGCCTATTATTGCCGAAAATTTCCTGTAAATGCCGTGCAATTGCTCCTCTGCAACACACATGTACACCGCGGCTACGAGCGGTACACCTACTGTGGCTACGAGCGGCGTGCGAACCACTCTTCGCGAAAACTGTAACCGAAGAGTAAGAAATCCGACTCGTACTTCTCGTACAGTCGTCGGCCGAGGCTGAGCGGCACGTGTCTGTAGTAGTTGCGCAGGAGGCGATCCTCTCCGCTCGTCGCCTTGTAATAGATCGTCGTGTTTCTCTGCGGAAACGTGAGACTCCCCGCCAGACCCGTCCGCCGCAGCAGCTCGGCGCTGTCGTCGCGCAGCGTCTCGTATTTGCCGACGAAGTCGTAGTTGACGACGCACGGATTGCACAGGTCGACGATGCGCGCCCAGTGGTAGTTCCACTCGCGCGTCGGCGTCTCGGCGACGTACGTCAGAAACTGCACGAAGCTGACCGCGTCGCCGACGTTCGCGTTCGTCGGCGAGCGCGCGAAGTGTTTGCGTATCAGCGCGAGCTGCTTGCGGTGGATTACCTCGGAGCGCGAGCCGACGGCGATCTTGTCCCGATAGGCCGACAGCAGCCGAACGAGCGGATGCCTGACGAACAGAAACTTCGTGCGAGCGCTCAGCATGTCGGCCATTTTCGCTAAGTCCACGATTCGACTAACGCGCTGGAGGTACCTTTCCACGTTCGTGTCGATGTGCACGTAATCCAACGGAAGCCGGTTGAACTGCTGCATGTCGGCCTTGCTGCCGGCAGGCGCCATTTCTAACGCCAGGAGCGCGTTTTTCCAGGTCGTACTTGCGACCTTCTGCACCTCGCAGTAGACCAGCTTGCGTCGCTGGAGCCAGTAGACGTGCATGTACGTGTACGGGTACTCAGCCAGAGATTTCTCTACTCCGGCGCGCTCGAGCTTGGCACACTGGTGTCTAAGCAATGCCACCCTCTCGTCGATGGTGTCCGCCAGGGGCGCTGCTGGCGCTACCCATGATATAAGGGACTCACTGTGCGTATTCGCGTCGCCGTAGGAGGGTGCGTGGGTCGTCAATCCTATTACTGAATAGTGAAAAAGAAAACGATATCACATTTCTCATATGTATGAACATTTTTGATGAGTAGCTGAATTTAGCATCACGTCGTCTAAACGCTTCGAAGAAAAGCGATTGGCTATTTTCGGGAAGCGGGATTAGACCATTTTAGTAACATGGGAACCGGGAAATACCTGGTAAATATTTCGTGATTTAGGATTAGAAGTCAACCGGGATGCGGGAAAGCCGAACTTACCTGTATGCAACGTACCATTGTAGCGTGGTAGACATTCCCATTCAGTAGACGTCAACATTAGACATTAGACGGGAAGGGACAAAGTTCACAGTAGGGGCCTACGAGTAAGAACCCAATGGTTATCAAATAGTAGGAGAATTCGGATTTTTTCCCCCACGTTTTAAGGTTTGAAATGGTACCTTCGCCGGTTGTAGCAGGAAATAAAACGAAATCTATAACTATATATATATATATTCAGGAGTGAATATAAAAACAAATTCATGATTTATTGTTATAAATCATATATGTAAAGTTTCATCCTACCCTCATTGAGTCATTCTGCCAATTGTTTTCATCAGTAGTTAGCGCGTACTATCAACGCAGTACTACAGAACGAACGAAGAAAAACGAAACGAAAGCGAAGAAAAACGAAAGCGCGACTATAAATTTTTGCTTTCATGAATCGTACAACGCGTGGGCGGAGAGCAGAGTCGTTGACACGCTCATAAAACATGTCCATCGTTAAATCGCTACCGGGTTAGACTAGATGATGTGACACACCGTCGGTGCATGCTGACCTTTCGGGGGGCCCGCACCCGCCGTGGCAATAAAGCTGATGCGATGTTTTGTGGCTGTAGCTGGCTGGCTGGCTAGGTGCGTGACAATAGCATGCAACGTGAAGGGTTGCTCACTGGCAATTTGAACAAACTTCACCGATTTTATTATCTCTATTCGACTGTGCCAGTTTTTAAAATGCTGGTCAACATATGACAAACATCACAGCTTATGCACATGTCCAACTAGGCTTAACAGCGTCATTCGGCAAATCAAATTCAAAATAACTATTTCCAGCTACAGAATTTTGAAGTATGAGATCCCATGGGTGGTAATAGTGCCCTGCTCTCAAAAATGAGCCCATGCAGACTATGGTTACCCCGGATGTAGTCATGTTTGAACGAGATTCGTCATGTACTAAATCAGCAAAACAGGCGTTTGAAAAGGGATTAAATAATTGTAAATTTTTTAATTATATTTACAGACGTTTGCTTTTATATTTCACGCGCGGCACACGCTGGACTAGTTTGCAAGTTACATGCAGAAACTGCTTGCCTTTAGCGGAATGCGTAGCTATATGTGCATTTGTGTGATCGCCAAGAGCGCCATACGCGAAACTTAATTTTCAGTGTGAAAACACGATGCAGGTATGATACCCGACTCGACTCGAGTACCCCGCGAAATATTTCTGGCACACAAATGACTATGAAACAATGTTTGAATTGAAATAAATGTTGTTCCTAATTTGTGATTGCAATTCAGAAGACCGTATCGTAATTTCAGAAAATATCTTTTACTGATTTATTTTGGAATTTTAAGCTTTACGTACAGCCGCGATAATGGAATTATTGTCAAGTAGATTGGTTATTATATCTATTTCTGAATAATAATATTTTTTTGATATTGATATTGATATTGATTTTCAAGGTTTCCCGTCGGTTTGGGCGTTCTCTCTCTCTCCCAATCTTATTCCCTCTCTGGCGCACTCTCTCTCTTCCACTCTTTCTCTCCCATTATTTTGTCTCGTTCTCTTCCTCTTCCACTCTTTCTGCTACGTATACATGCTCCTCGTCCTCTCTCCCTGCTCTCCCTCTCTCTTTCTTGAGATACCACTACCTCCTTTACTCTCACTATCTCTCACGTTTTTTCGCACTCTCTCCCTCCCTTCACCTCTCGCTTTCTCTTCCTCTTTTGCTTAGCTCTTTCTTGCTCTTTCGCACCTCTCTCGACCATCACACAGGAACACTGTAATCCCACACTCGCTCATAAACTCCAACGCCACCGCCCGATGCATGCATGTATGCTATCCGGGCAGCTCTTGCGGTTTGCGGCTATACAAGGAGTATAGTAGATATTATAGGAAAATATTTTCCTTATTATCTATACTCTTGGGGCCCGTTGTCAGAAACAAAGTTAGTAGTAACATTAGTCTTACCATCAACGAAGACATTTGACGGAAACATTGTTACAACAAGTTACGATAATGAAAGATCCTAGCAAATTTCCGCATACCTTTATGAAGCAACATTCTGTCAACGATGCAAGAGAAAAGGGTCAATTTACAATTTTTGATGATGATAATGACACATTTTAAGGTCGAATTTCGTTTCTGACAACAGGCTAATGTTCTGACAACTCTCTTTACAAGCCAACAAACGATATACAAAAGTAGTCAGTTAAACTAAAAGTGGGCATTGATTTCAACAACAAGATGAGTGACCAAGCACGCACCAGCAGACGTTTGCAGGCACCAAAATCGCGCGCGATATTGCGTGGACAAAGAACTCAATATTTTTGTCACAGTATAGTCGTTTATCAATGTGTGTGTGGGGGGAGGCTGATTAGGCATTAGGCATTAGGAACGCGGCTATGCGTAATCTTTCTTTAACTGACTGCAGCACGCGTGCGCGGTTGCTCGAACACCACACAATTTAACGTTTTAACAATTCAACGAGCGCATTACTTCATGCTATCCTCTCCACGCGCGCGAAAAACGACCCTGCACACGTTGGATTTCCAGCTAGCACCAAGTGCCCGTAACATATATTATTATTACCATTATGTGCTCTACTATGCTGTTATATACTATTATGTGTTGTTATGTACTATTATGACTGTATACTATTATGTAGGCTCTTGACAGCAGCAGCTCAGACTGTATTTAAACAACTCTAAGCTCATAAATGGTCATCAGTGGTTCTCGCACCACACACTCTACTCTTCTCGTGATTGTCACTTGTTATTTGTGCTTCGTACTTGTAGGTTCTATACTACTCTACTTGTGGTTGGACTTGTGCTTGTGCTTGTTACTTTTGTTTGTACTTGTACTATATACTCTATTTGCGATTGTGATTTTGCTTGTTACTTGTGCTTTAGCTCTAGTACTATAGCCCGCGCCTGCGGCAGTCAATGTACGCGGGATATAGTAGGCCTACTAGAGCTACTTGTGCTTATGCTTGTAGCTCTACTCGCAGGCACTTGAAGCGTTTCAATAAAATATAATGCTAACTAAATACGAAATCTATTTACTACCAAATTCTTAATCTTAATGTTTCTATACTCTCTTTCGCCTATTAATGCCGACAGTTTCCTGTCAATTCCGTCTAAATCCTACGTGCAACCATATACGCTGCCGGCGACATTGCTCTCGCGGCTCCACTGTTGCACGCTTACACTAATATATATAGTGTAAGCGTATAGTGTATAACAGGAGCTAATAATGACAAATATTTCATTATTAGCTCTTGTGTATAGCTATATATATAAGTGTAAGCGTGCAACAGTCGCGCCGCGAAAGCAATGGCGCCGGCAGCGTATATGGTTGGACGTAGGATTTGGACGGAATTTACAGGAAACTGTCGGCAATAATAGGTGAAGGAGAGTAGGCCTATAGAAACATTAAGAATTTGATAGTAAATAGATTTCGTATTTAGTTAGCATTATATTTTATTGAAACGCTTCAAGTGCCTGTGGTTCTACACGTGCCTGCGAAATACTACAACAATAATAACACAACCAACCGCGCCATTGCTTCGCTATATACTTACCGTATACACACAGAAGAAGACCTGCCAAAAGCAACGCGAATACGTTTCTTTTTCGGCTGCGCAGCTCATCGTAACGATGTCGGAGCATCATGTCCGCATACGATATCTCCCACTCAACTACTGACCCTTACGTAAGCATTTATAGCGATATATGGCTCCGATAGCGAGCGTGACGCATGCGCCCGCCGCATTCAGGATTATTTCCTGACGCTCGCGGGTGTACACGGTACGATAGCCTTCAGAAGGGAGATGAATGACCGCGGGTAAGTGGACCGTGCATACCTGCGGTCGCACACACACACACACACACACACACACACACACACACACACACACACAAGAGAGATCAGTACAAGTAAAGATAGGTACGATGAGTGCGGTGCTGTGGATAGTGGCCGCTGTGTGGGTCTTCTAGGTAGTATGTGTGCGTGGCGTGCGTGCGTGCATTGCGTGCGTGTGCATCGTACACGTGCGTGCATGAGTGTGTGCGTGCTGTGCACGTACCGTGCGTGCGTGCGTGCGTGCGTTCCGTGTGCGTGCGTGGCGTGTGCGTAAACGTTGCGTGCATGCGTGCCGTGCGTGCGTGTGGCACGTTACCGTGCTGCGTGTGGGGCACGTACGTTGCCGTTGCTAGACATGAGTGGTGTGCGTGCGCTGCGCTGCGTGTGTGCGTACACGTGCGTGAGTGCGTGCGTGTGAACTTACACGTGCGTGGCGTCCGTGTCGTTGTAGCAGGTACACGTGCGTGCGTTGTCTTTGCAGTGTGTGGCGGAGCTCGTGTGCAGCGGTACACGTGTGTGCTGTGTGCGTGCGTGCGTCAACAGTTGACGTGTATGGTGCAGAAGATAAATGTGTAGTATCACGTGGTGCGGGGTGCTTTGCATGTTCCAACGACGCAGCGCACGCAGCGCAGCGTGTACGTGCACCAGTCACAACAGGACTTCACGCAGGTCCGCGCATCGTGTACTGTGCAAGCACGCACAGCCTCATGGTAGCGCAGT